CGCCCAGCATGAGTTTTAAGCCACCGGGTCCAGGACGCAAACAGCGGTCGACTACATGGGAGTTCAGCAACATAGCCATTATGCTAACTGCTGGTCCCTCTACTCTACTTTCTCATCTTTCTCTCCTCTCTCTCCCTCTGTCTCTCTCCAGTAAACATGCACACCCTATAGCAAAACAAACAAACAAACAAACAAAAAAACCACACCATTAATTAGTTAACTAATTAATTATTCTCAGGTACATTATCAACTTTAGCCAAAACTGTTTCCTATTCAGAGTTCAGTTAAACCCCAGGCTATTAATTTCATTATAAATTATAAATTCAGCCTAGAGAAAGAGGATATGAGATCAGCAGATGGCATAATGGTTATGTCATTGGACTCCCATGTAGTTGACTGTGGTTTGAGTCGTGGACCTGGTGGCTTAAAACTCATGCTGGGTGCATGTATGCCTAAAATCCTGAGAAGAGAATGGAGAAGGTGGCCATCCCCCTTGGGGGTAATTCCTTGTTTTCTGTCTCTTTCTGTGGCAAGCACATGTGCCCTATAGCCAAAATCTCTCTAAAAGAAAAAGGAGAGCATGAATATGAATATGAGTGGGAGTATAAAGAGAGGTAAAGAGAGTTAGGTCTCTGTTTTACAAAGAAAATAAAACATTTTGGATAGGCAATTATTTTAACATTAAATAGGGCAAGCCTGTGGTACAAGTGGTTAAGGTGGCTGGGTCCCATATGGCTGACAGCACAGTTTGAGTCCCAGACCAAGAAGCTTGAAAAATATGCCAAATATATGTGTGCATGCCCAAAATCTTGAAAGGAGGGAGAAATGAAGGAGAAGGGATTGCAGCATGACCATTCCCTGCAGGGGGTGCTTTCTCACTCCCCACTGCTATGCTCTCCAGTGAGTGCATATGCCCTCTAGCAAATTAAATAAATAAATAATAATAAAAACAGTAATTGCTAACAATCATAGAAAACTTACTATGGGTCTTGACACTATATATATATTTTTTTTTGAGAGGTTTTTGCCATAGGACACGTGTGCTTGCCAGACAGACAGAGAGAGACATAGAGACAGAAAGTGAGAAATCACCCCCCAGGGGGGAATGGCCACGCTGCAATCCCTTCTCCTCCATTTTCCTCTTGGGATCTTGGGCACGCACGCACATGCGCCCAGCCTGCGTTTAAGCCACTGGGTCCGGGACTCCAACCTCACGGCTACATGGGAGTTCAGCAACATAGCCATTACGCTAACTGCTGGTCCCAACACCATATATTTTTAAAATAATTATTTGGTTTAATTTTATTTAGTCATTCATTTATTTAAATTTGACCACAGAGAGACACACAGAGAGAGAGGGAAAGTGAGAAAGCAAGCCACCAGGTGCAGGACTAAGATTATGGTGAGTCATGTGGGAGTGTCCAGCACCTTAACCACCATGCCACCTGTTGGCCCTGACACCATATTAACTCATTTACTTCTCAGTGTAAAACAAAGTGCTAGATGTTTTTATTTTTTTAAAGAATTATTTACTTGATTTTATTGATTCATCAATTTATTTTAATTTAACCAGAGAGAGACACACACACAGAGAGAGGGAAAGTCAGAAAGGAAGCCAGCAGGTCCGGGACTCGAACGATGGTCGGCTATGTGCTTGTGTCCATATTAACTCATTTACTTCTCAGTGTAAAACAAAGTGCTAGATGTTTTTATTTTTTTAAAGAATTATTTACTTGATTTTATTGATTCATCAATTTATTTTAATTTAACCAGAGAGAGACACACACACAGAGAGAGGGAAAGTCAGAAAGGAAGCCAGCAGGTCCGGGACTCGAACGATGGTCGGCTATGTGCTTGTGTCCAGCATCTTAACCACCATGCCATGTGGTGACCCCAGGAGCTAGATGTTGTGTTTCTTTTTTTTAAGAATTATTTTATTTAACTTTATTTATTTATTTTAATTTGATCAAAGAAGGACAGAGCGAGAGAGACATGGAAAGTGAGAAAGCAAGCCACCAGGTCCGGGACTCGAACTGCAGTCGGCCATGTGGGAGTCCAGCATTCTTAATCACCACTCCACCTGCCAGCCCCAGAATTAGTTTTTCTTTTAAATAGCATGAAAAATTATTTTCTGTTGTTGTTCTCATAATCTCAGCTCCTGCCTTTCATATAAGAGTATAATTCTGGCCCTGAAATACCAGTTCCCTAAAAATTTCCTAAAGCACTAGTGCCTAAAATGTGCTATCAGTACTCTAATTCTTTCCGTTTTAGATTAATATTATGAATATAAATAGGCATGGATACATTACTTGATGTTGTAAGCATGATATTAATAGGAAAACAATGACTTTGGTCTAAATAGGTTTTTTATTCCCCCTTTTGTGGCATTATTAGTGTGGCTTTTTATTATGATGCCTAATTTCTGGAATAAGTGAGACTTTACCTCTCTTTTTTTCTTTCTCACTGAACAGTAGATTTGAAACAACATTTCTCATTCCAGACAGAGACTGTAAGTTTATCTTATATGAAATAGGAAAGCACTATTAAGAAAAAGCATTTAGGGGCTAGCAGGTGGCATAGTGGTTAAGGCACTGGACTCTGGACTCTCACATGGTCGACCACAGTTTGAATCCTAAACCCAGAGGCTTGAAACTCACACTAAGCACATGTGCATGTTTGGAGAAAATCTCGAGAAGAGAACCTGAGAGAAGTTAATTGTGGCATGATCATCCTCTCTGGAGGGTAATTTCTTGCTTTCTGTCTTTCTGTCTCTCTGGCAAGCACGTGTGGCATACAGCAAAAATCTCTAAAAACAACAAGAAAAAGCACTCAACACGAGTTCATATCTATAACCTCCATCATCACTTTTACTATGCAATCTTACCATGTTTCAGTTTTAATTTTTTAAAATTTATTTATTTATTTGTATTATATTTGAAAAGAGAGAGAGAGAGAGAAAGCAAGCCACCAGGCCCAGGATTCAAACCATGGTCCGCCATGTGGGAACCCAGCACCTTAATCAGCATGCCACCTGCCAGCCCCTATGTTTTAGTTTTTCTACTAAAACCCAAAAAGGACCAAAAGTCTAAACTCACATAGTACCCTATGTTTGCTGATGATAGCAATAGGACTCTTTCATTTTAAATTGCTATACCTTACATTTTCTATACTTTCAGAGTCAAGAAAGATGGTGTAGCAGCCAAGTCATCCAAGACATCCAAGCGATCCAAGCCATCCAAAATGTCATTCAGTGAATCCAAGACACCCAGCCTGTGCAGTCCAGGAAAACAATCCATGCTGTCCAGTATAGACAAGATTTCTGAGCCCTCGGGTCCAGAAAAGTCATCCACACCATCCAGTGCAGAAAAATTAATCAAGCCCTCAGATTCAGGGAAATTATCCAGGTCATCAAAACCTCAAAAACTATTCAGTTCATCTTACCCCAGAAAATCATATAATACACACAGTATAGAAAAGCCACACAAGCTAGCCCATGCCCATAAGGTAGCCCATCAAGTCCATTCATCCTATCCAGATAAGCCAATCAGGCCACCTTGGCCAGCCAGTTTACAGTATTCACCCAGGTTGACCAACCTACCTTGTCCATTCCAACCAAAATATCCAATGTTGCCAACCAAGGCATTCGGTCTACACCAATTGGTCAAGTCACCCAGACATCGTAATCTAAAAAAGTCAGTGAGCTTAAGGAAGGCAATTATATTACCTAGGCCAAAATTAGCTCAGATTTGCCAACACTATGGGGAAAGATGTCTTGTTTGTAAAGCTTCTTCAGAGTCTTTGGTCAGTATTTCTGGGGTAAAGAGCAAAGATGCTCAAAACCCAGATGTTTCTGGGTCCTTTCATAAGGTAGATTCCAGGGACAATGTATACTATGATAATGTAAGTGAGAGTGATACATATGACAGTGATGACAGTAATAGGGAGATAACCATTATTTGCAACATAACATACAATGAAATCCTTCCTAAAGACATCCCACATGGTTAAGGGCTCAACAAAAAATAAAATCCAATTGTGAAGGAGTAAACTTCTATGAGCTGTCTTGTGTTCATTATTCCTTAAGACACTGAAAGAAGGAAAATCTACTGAGGATCACTATAAAGATCAACCCTATCCACCTTGGAGGCAATTTGTTTTTAAAATAACAAATAAATGACATAACATTATTATTGTAATTACCATTATATTTGAGAGGCACAAGACTCTTTTGATGTACTTAGATCTGGTCACTTAGATGGGAATCATAAACAACCATGTATATACCTAGAAAGGAATTGCAAGGCTGGCCCTGTGGTCTAGTGGTTAAAGGAGTCAGATCTCACATGGCCATCTGCATGGTTTGAGTCTTGGCCCCAGTGGCTTTAAAAACATGCTAGCTGTGTACGCGCACGTGCGTGTGTGTGTGTGTGTGTGTGTGCATGCCCTAAATCCTCACAGAGTGGAGAAATGGAGGAAAGGTATTGTGGTATGACTATGTCTCATTAGAGGATGCTTTCTCACTCTCTCTCTCTCTGTCTCTGACTCTCTCAGTTGCATGCACATGCCCTCTGGTAAATAAAATAAATTGAAAAGAATTTCAGGCCAGCCAGTGGTGTGATATTTAAGGTGACTGGAAACCACATGGCCAACTGCATGGTTCGAGTTTCAATCCAGCAGCTTGAGAAACATACTGTGTGTGTGTTTGAGTGCCCAAAATTCTGGGAGAAGAATGAAGACAGGATTGTGATATAACATCCTTCCAGGGAGTGATTTCTCACTTTCTCTCTCTCTGTCTCTGTCTCTCTCCTATTGAGCTTACATGCCCTATATCAAAGTAAAAAAAAAAAAATCAAAAAAGAAAGAACTACAAGTTAGGTACCCTGAACTTCTCATTCCCTTAGATTAGTTCTCAGCTGAAGTCTCAATGCAATTAAGTCTATTTTTAAATGTTGATGTGCAGCCTTCCAGTTTAAGACGGTCTCTTTTCCTGTAGTGCCCAGTGCTAGTTGGAAATAGCTCTGTGCTATGGACTGAATATTTATTATGTCCACTCAAAATCCACATGTCAAAGCTTAGTACCCTTTGTGATGGTATTAGGAAGTGGGGGCTTTGGAGAGGTAATTAGGTTTACATGGGATTTTGGTGAGGAGCTACCATGATGGGATTAGTGTCCTTACAATAGGCTAAAGAGGGACCAGCAAGTGGCGTGGTGGTAAGGGCGCTGGACACTCCCACATGGCCAACGGTTTGAGTCCTGGACCTGGTGGCTTGCTTTCTCACTTTCTCTCTCTCTCTCTCTTTCTCTCTCTCTCTCTCTCTCTCTGTGTGTGTGTGTGTGTGTGTGTGTATGTGTGTGTGTCTGTCTCTCTCTGGTCAAATTTTTAAAAAATGAATGAATAATAGGCTAAAGAGACCTATTACCCCTTCATTGTATGGAGACCCAGCAAAAAGATTTCATTCGTGAACCACAGAGCAGGCCCCTACTGTACACTGAATCTGCTGGCACCTTGATATTGACTGCCCAAGAATTGTGAGAAATAAATTTCTGTTGTTTATAAGCCACCCAGTCCGTGGTATTTTGTTATGGCAGACTGAATGTACTAAGATACTTAGTGTGCTTTGTTCTAGCTGATTTGAGAAAATTTCTGATAATCACTTCTAATACCGCAGCCTCCCATGGCTTCTACCTAAAGTGGAGGTCCAGCCATACTCATACCTGGGGCTCCATATTAGTCTAAGTGCTCTAACTGTATAACTCTTAACAAGGTTTTTCAAAAATACTTTTTATACACTCAATCACTGTATATCATTATAGCTTGCAAAATTAATTTTTCCAGCATGAATACACTGTAGTATATTAGTCCAGTTAAAGATATTATCATATACATTATTATCAACAATTTTTCATTTTTGTGTCCCTCAAATGTTTTGCTTCCTTTTTTTTCCTTTGAAGACCTGAAAGGATTGAACAGCCAGAACCACTGTGTGAACGCTTTCCTCACACTCGACATATTTAAGTCCCAAGAGTTTCCCACTATCTAAGAATTATATAAGTAAATTGAGGCTCGTTAACATATAGTAAGATCACATATAGTAACTACCAGGTTGAACTGAGATTTGCTTCTGATTGGTTTATGCTGTCTTCCATTATGTTGCACTGCCTTTGCATTACCAGCTACTCAGGTGTTGATTATTCTCAGATCACCCAATTTCTTGATGTGAACAAATTCCCTACTTAACTTTTTTTTTTTTTTTGAGAGGTTTTCACTATAGGGCGCGTG